GTCGCGTTGGTAATATTTATAGGCGTGTGGAGGCCTTCTAGAAAATTCAAATTGTGTAACAATACAAAGTTAAATTTTTATATACATCCATATATTGTTTATTCTTACTCTCGAGAATCTTCTACAACTTTGGAGAATAAGCGGGAGTTTCGCAATACATATTTAACTGTATAGGCTATGCATGTTTCTAAATATAAATCTAATCTAAACAAATGTTGATATTAAAATAAATATATAATAACAAATTCGTTACACAGAAAACTGGGTGTGAGTAGTGTCGCATTATTTCTGACAGATGTGTTTATTTAAAAAGAAGGTGTCCATGTAAGTTTTTGTTTGTTTGTTTGTTTTTTTTAATTTCGCGCAAAGCTACACGAGGGCTATCTGCACTAGCCGTCCCTAATTTAGCAGTGTAAGACTAGAGGGAAGGCAGCTAGTCATCACCACCCACCGCCAACTCTTGGGCTACTCTTTTACCAACGAATAGTGGGATTGATCGTCACATTATAACGCCCCCACGGCTGAAAGGGCGAGCATGTTTGGTGTGACGGGGATTCGAACCCGCGATCCTCAGATTGCGAGTCGAGTGCCGTAACCACCTGGCCATGCCGGGCCGCCATGTAAGTTTAATGGTAGAAACTGTTTGCGTTTGCAGCTATTTCAATATTACAACCTTAATGCTTCGAAAGGAAGCTTAAATGAACAAGGAAGTCGGTAGCAAAATATGCGAAGCCGACGCCAAACTAAAAGTAGCCTCGCGTAGCACGGGTATCGGGCGAACTGATCGTATTCGACAGTTTAAAATACTGGAGGAGGGAGATCCACCTCCCCATTGAAAGTATCACTTTTTAAGCTGGACATCGCCAAGTACCTTTGTTATATAATTTTGATATCAGTTTGGACAACACAAAACGACATCTATCAATGAAAAAGATATGGTCATCTAACCTCTTACAACGTTAAAAATTGGGGTTTGATACCCGAGGTAGTCACAGTACAGTTATCCCATTGTACATTTGTGTTTTTAAACATAAAAAAACAATTATAACTAAAATATAAGATATTTTATAATCTTTATTTTTTTTTAAATTATCTCTGCGTTAACCTTAGAATAACTGATAAGGGCAGTATGAACCCCATCGACTTTTTAAGCACATTTACTAAACTGTTTGTGCACCACATTGCTTGTGGGTTCATGACATTGTTAGTTACAGTGTTCGTAATAAATGCTTTTAAATATTTTAAATATAATTCACAGGAAAATATGTAAACCAATAGGTTATCAATATTGAAATGAATTACACGGATACCCACTGGTGTCCCCTATGTATTATATGTAGAAAATGTATTATTTTACCCAATTGTTTGTCAATTCTGTTGTAACAGGCAACATCCGATACAATATGTCGAACTTGCCGGTAATGAACAGTATATAAGTCGGTAATTTAAAGCTTATGGGACATTTTAGTATTTAGAGCTTTTGGTTGGAAAGCTTCGTATACAATGTAGTAAATTTGGATAATTTTGCTGTAACAGACGATAACATGTATATGTCTTTTGTATATATCTATATTTATCTTTATACAGTCATTCTGACATTACTACAATAGCTACAGCACTGATAAAGGCGTTGTTCTCTATTCCATAACAACCCATCTATAGTCTTCTCGTCCTTCGGACAGGTATAATTTTGTAGTATAGATAAACGAACAAGTGGGAAGCCCGTTGTTTACTGTGCTGAAGATTTATTGGTATACTTAGATCAAATTTCGCTGTTTAAATGAACATAAATCTCGTACTCTTCAAAGCTATAAAATACACTGCTTAATAGGCGTGAGTTATCACTTGCTATGTGAATTCGATTTAATGTTTTTTTTTTTTTCACTTTTAAGGAGTATTTGAAGTATAGATTTTGACTGTTCATGCCATACAAGATTTATCAACATTATTTTATGTTAAAATGGTTGCGGTCGGATCAAATCTAATCACAGCATCAAATTCATTTTTAAAACAGGTTACTGTGATTTAATTCACTGGCATTCGACGACCATTTTCTATTTCACGTTAAGCTTTTGCTTTTTGCACTTAGTTAACATTGGTGTCTAACTCTTTTTTTTAATTTACGAATATGGCATTTAAAAGAAAGTCTTTACACTTAAGTAAATGTTGTCCTTATCATAGTGTGTATTGTAATTTTACTCAGTTTAAAGAGCAATGTTAGAACAAAAACATCTGCACATTTTTGATGATCTTATTGAAACTTTATTGTTATTTGTAGTTATTTAGTATGCGTTTAAGGTAATGTTACTGCTAGCATTATATTACTAAAACACTTTGAGACAGTACACTAGCAGCCTGCTAGAGGCTACTACTACAAGTTAATTGGAGTCACTGCTACGAAGAAAAGAACGGTATAGTGGATGTTCAGAGAGTAATCATTATTAAATGTGGCATTCTCACACATAAATTAAATGTGTTTATAAAAAATAGAAGATCAATATACTTGTGTGTATCACGGAGTTGGACAGTCATCATTAATAATCTTCAATACATGCACGTTTTAAAATATGTGTTGCAGAAAACAAAATACGTAGCATTAATTGTATCACCCAGAGTTCAGTACTGCAGATTACATTTGCTGTGCACAGCGAATTAGTTCCTTGCTGTCTACTTTCCTATCTCCTTGAGTTAAAGAACAGTGAGAAAAAAACGCTATTGTGTATATGTTTGTAGGGTGAGAAGAATGAATGTTACTGATTAATGTGCGCCTTAGATGGACAGATTTATGATTGACGGCAACCAGGAGAACGTTTTGGATATGGATGTATATACTTTTTCTTTTTAATATAAATATATGCTGTATCATATTAGTCGTTGCGTCCAACGATGCTTTGAAAACAAACAAACAAACAAAATTACCGAACCTATACCTGAAGCCAACTGAATCAATCTAGGGACAAAAAAGACCAAATCTCACTACATTTACAGCAAGAGGTGTGGTGGTGTATTCCAATGACTGGTGACAGCTGTTAATAACAGAGTAAAATATAAAGACGGCCCCCATTTTATATTCGATTGGACACTAAAGGCGAATCATGACAATTTTTATCAAGGACTTCTGTTCATATACCTTTAATTATATAGTTATTTTATAACTTATTAATTGAAAAGCAACAACATAATTTTTGAATCAAGTGCATGCTGAACTTTCACAGGTTATAATAGCACCTGCATGTTTGTTGAAAGTTAACCTATTGGATGACACAGTCATGTAAATAAAATCTAAACGTGTATTAAATTCGATATATATTTTAGAGATGTATTCGAAATTATAGAAAAACCAGCTCACAAACTCGTTCAACGCATGGGGAAGATATAGGGGTTCCCAGTAGGGGTAATATAGAAGGGTCAGATCTGAACGCCTAAAGGTACATGAAACATTTGGTGATAATCAGTCCAGTTCGCCAATTATAAGCGTACACACATAGAGACTTTGGCATATAATTGTTTAGACAACTTTTTTCTGGAAATCTGACTTTTTAATTCAATTATGAATGTAGATGACGCTATGTAATTGTAATATTTGAATAAGAGAAGAATTTTATATTCAGGTATATATATTTATGAATTTGTAAAGACGATTTTAACACATTTTGGATATTATTTATCATTTTTTTTGCTGACTAAAATCATTTCCACTTATATATGAAGGAGAATTTCTCAGAAAGGAAAACTAAAACGTTTTATTCTATACAGTCTTAAGGATCGATATAATAAGTTTCTAAGAGTTTCTTGAGCTTCAAATGTTTTGTTGTTGTGTTAAAAAT